TAGTTGGAATAGTATTGTTCATAATGCATTGTTTTTTTAATTTTCTGCACAAACAATACATGCATTGTTTGCTTGATGTGACACAAATTATCACTCAAAATGAGTGATAGTTAAATATCATGTTCTGGGTGAGATTGTTTGATTGAGATTGTTGGGGTTTTTTCTCTTCTAACTATGTCCCTACTTTTTACGTTAAAAATAAAGGGTAAAAGTGTCATTTCACTCAAAAAGTAACATAACTTATATACATGTATATTTTTATGCATACATTAATGATAATTCATTAATTTAACTATCACCAAGATCAAATGACCGTTTAATTTTAACCAAGTACCACAAGTCCACAACAGATAATTTCCTTCGGACAAAGCTTTGTGTGTAATTTATTAACCCGAGGCATAGCAATCCGGTTATCCCAACTCCTAAGTCCTCTCAGAAGGCACCAAGCCCTCTTTTTTTTTTTTACAAAGGGATCTTTATTGCACTTTGAATAATTGGTTACAGAGAGTAAATAAAAACTTGACTTCAAAGCAAGATCAAGGAACCAATGGAACCCAGGATGATACCAAACCATGCTAAGAACATACAACCAGTGGAAGCACAGCACAGAATGACATCACCCAAAACAAAAATCCAAGTTCTTGAGACAAAGGCAGAGCATTTATAATCCCTCTTTCTTCCAACCAAACCAAGAGCAAGAAGATCAGAACAACTTGTCCGATCACAGCGAGATCCATGGCATTGGACTTGCAAGCCATTTGCCGTCTCCTGGGGAGTGCACAAAGTCATCCATCACAGTGAATCTCAAAAGAGATTGCCTGACGGTGGAAGAGGCTGTGATGCAGATTGCTCCAAGCTGTGAAGGCAGAGGGGGCCAAGGTAGAGAGGATCGGTTCAAAGGGGAGCAAGCATACAAGTAGATCAACAAACCACCACAAAAGAACCGACTTCCACCGCAACCACCGGAGATGACTCACCTCTTCACGATCCGACAACCATCCAAGCAACAACACCACCTTGGGGAAGCCAGAGGGGGGGAGATGAGAATGGCTTCACCTTGCAGATGAGACCACCAACCTGGAAAGAACAACCATCACAAAGCAAAGGTCAAGCTTCCCAAGCTGCAACCTCCAGATCCTCAAACGAGCAAGCCTTGAAATCGCAAAATCCTAGATCTGGAATGCCAAAATGGCTGGAGAGACTGAAATCATAAAGATGAAAAGCCTAGAAGCAATGGCCTGAAGATCGAAAACACGACAAGCAAGAAAAGCGATAAAGAAATAGAAACTTGGGCTGCCGCCGGTCACCTGAAGCAGCCGGCGGCAGCCATGGAAGGCTTGAAAAAGAGGCTTTTTAGAGAGAAGGGAGAGTAAATTTGAAAAAGGTAAAGTTAGAGAGAGAGAGCACTTCCACCAAGCCCTCTTCGAATGTGTCATAGAACTCCTGGTCATCCTTAGTCATCTGTGCTAGAATAGACATGCCAAAACTCCTCCAACGAGATAGAAAGAAGTAGATTTTTTCCACAAACACCACTATTAAACATAAAATTCCAAAAATACCATCCTTTCGAAAAAAAATTCTAGAAATACCACCATTTCATGGAAACCGCCGCACAGGGAAGCGGCTTTCATATGAACTGCCAGGTGAGGAGGCGGTTTTCATTCCCGCCACAAACCGCACGTCCAAAATGCAGTTTCATGACTGACCTAACACAGACTGTCAATTCAACAAATGGTTTTAGATCGGTTTTAGGAACCGCCGCCATCCCCGACTGTTTTCATTCCCGAAACACAAACCGCCTCCCCCCACCATTTTGGTATTAATTTAATTACAATTTTATTGCAGATGATATTCCAAAAGTTCACGCTTGGGTTACAGTGAAATGGTTACATGAAAGAGACTGAAAATGGGGTACATTACGTCGGTGGTAATTTCCATAAAGTGAAGTTCGTTACGAGACCAAACCTTGAAGAGCTCCATCAAACGTATTCTATGGTTACTTGCATGGATGGCACAAGGAGAGTTGATCGTATGGTGCATCGATATCCAAACAGACAAGACGGATCGTTGTGGCATTAGAAATTGCTCACAACCACTCTTGAGGAAGTAGATGCCATGCTCGAATTTTTGAATGCCAATAAAATTTCCACAGCAGAGATGTTTGTTTACACCGAGATGGTCGAAGGGGTTGGAGGTCATTCTAGAGATGGTCAAACATCTAGTATCCCCGGTGGGGGTGGATTATATGAAAATCATCCCTACCAAGGTTACCATGATCCTCATTCCTACCAGGAGTACCAATAAGGAGGTGGAGGGCATCATCAATCCTTCCCATCATATAAAGACGAAACCCAATGGTACCATTACAACCAACAAGAAGGCTACCAGTACCAACCCGAGTACGACTTCCATGCAGGCAGCAATAACTATCACAACAACCATTACGGAGCCGATGAAGGTGTCTTTCATGATCTGGTTCAGATGGAAGATACCCTTCGCGGTCGAGTTAGTGACCCTGAGGATGAAGAAGTGGAAGGCGATGTCAGTGCATACAGCTTCAACCTTCTTGAAGGTGGTGATGATTAAGGCCCAGATTCAGACGCATATGATGATGAGGTGTCTCGTGACCATGTACCTATCTCGTACTACTACCACGTTCCAAATGAAAATTGGTATGCTGATGCGAACATGGAGCTGCCAGAGGTGCCAATATGGGGTCCACTCACTGGGTTTACTAAGGGCCAACAATTTGGTACGAAGAAGGAGGTACGACACGCTGTTGACACTGAAGCAATGACTCGGAGTTTTGAATGACTCAAAATTCATTCCGGCACGAGGAGGCTCATAGTTAGATGTCACAATCAACACGAGGGATGCAAGGCTAGATTCTGGGTCATCCAGAGCAAGAGAGTCGAGCATTGAGTAATATCCCACGCAGTAAACACTCACACATGTGTGTCATCCATAACATCCCAAAGCCATCGACAGTTGAAATCCTGGGTGGTTGTCGCGGCTATCGAGTATCTAATTGAGCGACAACCCAACCTAAAGGTGAAAACCATCATCGCCGACATTTCTAGTCGTTATAGATATATTATTAACAATAAGAAACCATGGCATGGAAAGCAGAAAGCCATAGCCACCATGTTTGGCGACTGGGAAGAATCACATGCATACATTCCCAGATTGATTTTGGCGTTGGAGGCGTCTAACCCTGGCACTGCATTCTCCTCCCGCTACCAAGATGAATAAATCCAGCAACCGAAGCCCGATAACAAACGTCATTCCAAACGAATTTTCTGGTCATTCAAGCCATCTGTTGATGGTTTTACCTTTGGCGTCCATGTGATGCAAGTAGATAGCACATTTCTTACTCGCAAGTACAAGGGCAGTCTCCTAATTGCCAGTGGAGCGTATACAAACATAAGTGTCTTTTCTATAGCCTTCGCCATTGTCGAGGAGAGAATATCGAAAACTATGGATGGTTCTTCCGACAAATTCACCTCCACGCACCACGAGGATGAACCTGACAATCATCTCTGATCACCATGTCGGATCAGAGCTGTCATCTTAGGCTTGGATCAAGCCTGAAAATGGTCTCAGAGGTGGTGCATACGACACTTCAAGAGCAATTGGAACCATCATTTCAATTGGATCCAACTAAAGAAATGTTTTATGATGCCAATTCGAACTTAGCCTCAACCAACAGACTACTATTTCCTAGGTTTTTGGGTGGTAGGGGGATGGATAGAGAGATAACCTTAGAGAGAGAAGAATGGATTTTGGTGTGAATAAATGAAGGAGGGGGAGGGGTTTATATATTATTTGGACTGCCTGGTGGGGGGGCAGTTTGGTCATTTTACACCAAACAAAACCTCCCCCGCATAAGGTTTTTGCATTTGAAACAGAAACAACGCTTCGGGGAGCGGTTCTCGCATCCTCAACACAGATCGCTGACCTGGCGCACGGTCCGCCTTCGGATCTCATCTTCATCCGGCGGTTCAAGAGACTGGCACGTGGATAGGCGGTTTGCCACCCGCCCTAACTGAAGTTGTCCCCCCCCCCCCCCCCCGCCCCAAGCGGTTTTCCTTGATACCGCGCCTTCCCCATACGGTTTCCAATAAATGGTGGTACTATTGGAAATTTTTCAAAAAGGGTGGTATTTCTAGAAAAATTCCGAAAGAAGTCCATATATCATTGATCGTTGAGAGTTTTGATATATAGAAAACCTCTTCCAGACGAACAAGACAAGTTATAAAATTTGCAAAATGCACTTGTATAGCCATAACTTTGGTGTTTGTGGCAATGATAAATATTATTTTTTAAATCACAAATATAGCGGATTTCGTTAAAAACTTAAACGCCATTAGTGAATTCGGCAGTTACGCTGATGATATGTTGATGTGAACGCCATATCAGCTCCAAATTGCCACGTAATGCCATCTGTCAGCTATGCCGTATTTAAAAATACATTCGTATAGTCAAAACTTTGATACTAATGACATGAAGAAAATTAATTAAAACAACACAATTTCATGAAAATACTATATTTATATGCTTAATGCAAAATATGTTAGAGAAAAATAATGATTATCTCTAACAAAAAAAATGCATGTCTATAATTGGGCGGGTTCGGGTTGGATAGTGAGAAAACCATGCCCACCCATTACCCGTAATATTCGGGTTCGGGTTTACCCATACCCACTAAAAGTCTTTCGAGTTCGGGTTTACCCGACTAGGTCGGATTCGGATGGATATCCACGGTTACGGATATTTTTGTCATCCGTAATTATCAACCAGATGTTAAACATATGAGTTCAAACCAACGTTGTCAAACCGGTTTAACCCATTGAGCAGGTCGAACAAGTGGTTTGAGATTTAATGCTCTGATCGGGGTCCGACCGGTTTAAGCCGTTTAAGACGTTTTCTAAATATATATACAAATAAGATAGTAATTAAAAATTTAATAACTCAAATGAAATTTATCTTACATATATCTATTGCTACTGCTGGCGGTTCGGAGGGTGACAAGAAGAAGCCAGCTGAAGGGGAGAATAAGTCCAAGCGCAAAATGAAGACGGCTTCTCAGCTTGAGGTTCTTGAGAAAACATATGCTGGTTTGTTTCCCTACTATCTTCGCCACATGCTTTTTTCTCTCCCTTCTTATGTGCTTTGGCTAGCATGTTCCCTCATTTCCCCCATTTCTTGTGTACGTTGCTGCTATCTACCTCCTCTGTTTCATTTTGTGGCGGCTCAGCTGTACAATAAGCCCTCGCATTATGCTGATTTCTCATATGCTGGCCTTTATGCTTTAGCTCACTGTCTGTGGCAAACTTAAACTACTTCTTGCACTTAAAGCTCCCGCATTTTCGACCTTCATATTAGCTTGCACGCTTGCCCATGCACGCATTTCATGCTTGTCTCTCTGCATGGTTTGCAGTCGCTACATCTTGATACTGAGCCTAGTCTGGCTTGCCTCTGTTTCCTGTGTCTTGTGAGCTCACGTGGATTTTACGTTCTCTTTGTTTTGTTCAGTGGAAGCATACCCGTCAGAGGCATTAAGGGCTGAGCTCTCGGTACAGTTAGAGCTCTCTGATCGTCAGCTGCAGATGTGGTTCTGCCATCGGCGATTGAAGGACCGGAAGGGCACACCAGGGTCAGGAAAGCGCCAACTACGCAAGGAGTCTCCACCTCCTCCTACTGCACCACCTGTAGGGGAGGAAGTGGTTGCTGCCAGTGAGCCATATAGGGAGCATCTGTCAACAGCCTCTACTTCACTATCGAGTCCATTCAGTCATCTGACGGATCCAAGACGGCTAGTGGTTAGGACCCCGGGAGTGGCTGTTCCCAGGATCAGTGGTGATCTGTCGACAATGAAGAGGTATTATGAGCCACAGCACTCTGTTGCCGAGCTTAGAGCAATAGCATTTGTTGAGGCACAGTTGGGGGAACCAGTGAGGGAGGATGGTCCAATTCTCGGCATGGAATTTGACTCCTTGCCACCAGATGCATTTGGCGCACCTATAGGTAAAGTTTGCTGCTTTTTTCATTTTTCCACTTGTAATTATAAAACTTGCATGTTGCTGCCTGTGGGAAATTTCCTCAAAATTGTGCTTGTTGTGTTTTTGATGAAGCTCCATCAATACATGGTCTGCTTAACTTTAATGTAAGACCTAGTAATAAGGTTCTTTTAGTTGGATTCATTATTTGACGTGTATTTCCGATGAGTTGTGGGGAAGTGAGGTTAGAGGGTGTAATTGTCTTTTCAGGCCCTAGCAACGACACGTTCAAGTGGGTCCTATGCAAAGAGCTAAGGTTTTCGATTGGTTCTGCTTATCTTTTCCTATTTGTTGTACCTGGTCTTTTAGAGATTTATTTCATTGGAAGTGCTGTATGAATCACCCCAAATATAAGCAAATCTCTTGATGATTTTATGTGCGGAGTGTTAGGGGACGAGAAAGCCATTGCAATTTGAGGTTGAGCTTACTTTGTGAATGTATCTATATCCCTTATGACATTCACCCTAGTAGTCCTCTATGAAATCTGAAATAAGTTATATAAGTCCCTTCTCATGTATTCATTTGTCGGACTAATATCTTGTACTTGCTGACATCAACCCTAGGTTCAATGCCATCTTAGTGTGGTCCTTGTTGGTAAGGTTGTTTTGCTAGAGCTGATGTTTATATGATTCCTTAGCTAAATTCGGCATATCGAATTGTTGCAAACTGATGTCTGATATCTTCTATGGCTAGAAGTTTCATTTATTTTCTGTTCTTTTTGTCTAATAGAAGCCCTCTAGTATCTTTTTGATTGTTTCTTGCTGCTGTTTTAGGCATTACAGGAAATATTCTGGAATGAAGATTTATTGGGTGCGGTTGATTGTTGAATTATGTTTGTTGTTGACTTGTAGTTCCTATATTCATGAATTTCACCTGAAAAAGTGGGTATGCTCCTACCTCTAAGTTTGAATTCAAAGGAAGACACACTTAGTGATAGAGCTTGAAAATTAGACCGACTCGTCCATGGGTTTCTTTGTTGTGCTTTGCTCTTTGGAAGACCTGTAACCATGGGACATTGATGTCATGGTTTCAAATCCAAGGGGACTTTACAAAAGAAATAACCATGCATGTCTAGATTATGAAATTTGAAAACGGCAGACAAACCTATTACTTGAGCATGTTTACTGATTCTTACACAATCAATGGCACCTTTTGGTTAAAAGGTTAATCTTTAATTTTGGGTTTTCATGATTCTGGGAGAATAAAGGACAACAACTAAAAAGAAAACTGAACTGACGGCAGGATCTCTTTCCAGGTGGACAAAGTAATAAAGATCAAAATTTGTCATTCAGAAATCAGAAAATGGAAGTTTTGGAGAATGTGTCTGGACGTGCAATATATTTTCCTTGCTTTGATCCTCTTTATAGATGAATGTAGGTCCTAACTTTTAGGGCAGTGGATATTATTTTTATTCCTCGTTACCACTTTACTAATCGTTTGCGGAAAAATTGCAATAAAGAATATCATGAATGATATCTAATAATTTATAATGTGTGCTCTGTTTCAATTTCTTAGTTTATCTTGTAACTTATACCAAACAGTTCGAGAGCAAAATATGGTGATTCAAGGTTTTCTCATGACTTTTCATTTTTATGTTACTAGGGTCTGCTGCTACGGTGGGGCATCAGAAGTCATCAGGACGACACTTCGAGGCCAACATGTATGAACGATCTGATGTGAAATCTATCAAGGTTGGGCGTGCTGGATTCTACAAGGAATAATTTTGGTTTGTCGATACTTCTTGTCAATATCCCTATGTTGGTCAGAAGGTTTAACTCTGTCTAGGATCTATTTAGGGACCCATTCATTCCGATCATCATATTTTAAGATCAAGGTTGTAAGGTCTCTTTTCATAGAAAAACTTGAGAAGGTTGTAACATCTCTGACTATGTGCCTTGAATGTGAGTAGTGTTGATGCATATGTGCTGAGAGTCAAAAGGTTGCGCTTTCTAGTTGGTAACTGATGTAAAGTGGTGTTGAGATCTTAACTTAGTAGCTTTAATATTTTCAGAACCCATCCAATGGTTCCTTTCATTTGTCATTTACGATTTTGAGAGTCCATCAGTATTATATTATCAGTTCCTTTCTAGTAAGCCTCGAGGAAGTCCAAAGTCTAGCCCTTTTGATAAACCAAAGACTATTGTCATGGTGTTTGGAGGCAATGTGGGCCAGACAGAGTGACTGGTGCTGTTTCTTACTTAGATATGCATATTATAGATTATGTTAAATAATTAAGCACATTATCTGTGCCACATATACAGGGTCCTACCAGAGCACTGCAGGAGTACCAATTTCTTCCACAGCAGCCAAGTGTTAGGGCAGATGGATATGAGCGAATTGCCCCGTTGTACCCGTATGATTCCCCTTCTGATAGTCATATTACAAAAACCATACCATTGCCTGTGGAACACCCCTTCATGCATGGGAACGAGCACTCGTCCTCAGGATATGGATTTCCAGGTCAAGTGCCCAGTTTAAGTCTAATGCCCCAGGAAGTCCGGCAGGGTCATCATCTCTTACCATCTTCTTCAGGAGAGTTTGGAACTGCACCACGAAGGAACTTGTTTGCAAACATGGGAATGGATGCACAACTTGGTCCTCATGCTATCACTGGTTTGGACGATCCATTTACATCATCCGACAGGCGAGCTAATCATGTTGACGATGTTTTGCGCATGGAAAGGAAACGAAAGGTACTGTTATGTCAGTTCTACATTTGGCAATTCTTCTGCTACTCATGTCTCTTGATCAATGTTTGTAGAGCGAGGAAGCAAGATTAGCACGGGAAGTTGAAGCACATGAGAAGAGGATTCGGAAAGAGCTCGAGAGGCAGGATATTTTGAGGAAAAAGGTATGTCCTGCTACCCGGCCATTGCTTCTTTGAGCCTGTAGTTTTATGCTTTATATTAAACATGTATTGCTTGATCAGAGAGAAGAGCAAGTAAGGAAGGAAATGGAAAGGCAAGAGCGTGAAAGACGGAAGGAAGAAGAAAGATTGTTGCGTGAAAAGCAGAGAGAAGAAGAGAGATACCAGAAGGAGCAAAGGCGTGAAATGGAGCGGAGAGAGAAGTTTTTGCAGAAGGAATCTCTCAAAGTAAGTTAAAAGTGTTACTGTGTTTCCAAATGTAAGGACAATAATTACCTTTCTGTTTGTTGACGCACTCAGGCTGAGAGAATGAGACAAAAGGAAGAATTGCGCAGAGAGAAGGAGGTAGCCAGGCAAAAGGCTGCTATTGAGAGAGCTCGTGCCCGCAAGATTGCAAAAGAATCTATGGAGCTCACTGAGGATGAAAAGCTAGAACTCATGGAGCTAGCTGCATCAAGCAAGGGGTTGCCTTCAATGCTTTCTCTTGACTTTGAATCTTTGCAAAATCTTGATTTATTTAGAGGTGAGTTATTTTTTGGGCTTATCTCATCTTCATTAGCATCTGCTGCTTTGCTTACCTGAAAGTAGCTCGCAACAATGGGCTGTATCCGTTTATGATATTGCTCTCTTTTCCAAAACTTTTGTTTTCACCTACTTTAACTTGCATTCTGCATTTTTTCCTTACAATCACCTACTATTTTCTATGCAAATATGCGGTGGTCACATTTGACCAATATACTTCAGCTATCATGTTTCTTTCTTATGAGGGTGCATAATGCAAAGATTGAACAGTTTTATCAGCTCAATCTTACATCAACTTTTTGTAGACAAGCTGGCAACATTCCCTCCCAAATCTGTGCCTCTGAAGAGGCCTTTTGCAGTGGAACCATGGAGCAACTCGGAGGAAAATGTAGGGAACCTTCTTATGGTGAGTCCAAATTTTTTTTTGTACCTGAAATTTTTTTTGTACCTGAATTTTTTTTGGTGGGGTTGGTATGCACAAATAATGGTATATATGGCAGAAAGATCTCAGTTTGTTTTTGGAAATTCTAGTCTGCTTTCCCATATTGTTAAATATGACCTGTTAATGAATGATATATTATTTATCCTTTGTTGTGGGTTTACACAGCTTCCATAGACAGACAAGAAAGTGGAAGTATTATGTTTTTGTTTTGTACAAGTAGTTATTTTCAGGTTTGAAACTATGAAAAAAGTAGTCGTTCATAATTGGACTAATATCAGCTAGACAGCTCCCTATTTGCAAGCCACTACACTTACATTTTTCTGAATATTCTGGTTCAGATAATCCGCAAAAGAAGTTATATTACCCTATTCATGGCATCCTAGGGCATGTTAGTCTTTTATAAGGATGCTCCTCTTTTATTTGGACATGAATGCTGCTGAAACTGTTGGAGGGCGTGGTTCACCAGATAGACATCTAACTTGTATATATATGCATCTAACTTACACCGCTATGCAACCTATTTCTATCCTGCCCAGCCTCAATGCGAACTGTTTTTTATAATGCAGGTCTGGAGATTCATTATTACTTTCACTGATGTTCTTGGTCTATGGCCATTCACTTTTGATGAGTTTGTCCAAGCTTTTCATGATTACGTAAGTGCTAATCAGTCCTTTTCTTTGTTTTATTTGGAACTCTTTGTCCTCCCATTGTTTTCACTAATGAAACTGTTCTCTGGTTTCTCAAAAAATGAACTGTTTGCTGTCATTCCAGGATCCAAGGCTATTGGGTGAAATACACGTGGCTCTGCTGAAATCCATCATCAAAGATATTGAAGATGTGGCTAGGACACCAGCCACTGGCCTTGGAGCAAACCAGACCAGTAGTGGTAATCCTGGTGGTGGACATCCACGGATTGTTGAAGGGGTGAGTTACTATGTTATTGCAAATGAATGTTTGTAGTTTTCATCCAGTTTCCCTGTTTCACTCATTGTCTTTTGGATTGAGTGCAGGCATATGCATGGGGTTTTGATATACGCAATTGGCAGCGCCACTTAAATTCACTCACATGGCCTGAAATATTGAGGCAATTCAGTCTTTCTGCAGGATTTGGGCCACAACTGAAGAGAAGGAAAATTGAGAATCCATATCTGCGCGATGACAATGAGGTAGTTCATTGTTTTTGGTTTGGTTCTCTCTTCCAAAGCAATTTATGCGTACATGATATAAAATTCTTTTGAGCAGTGAGGTGTAATTAGACTTTCCTTCTCCACTTCTTCCTTCTAGCTTTTATAAACTGGTACTCCTAGTGGTTTCAACACCATTTTCTGTCAAGTGGTTCTGACTTGAGCAGGAACATGTTTCCCCTTCATATAAAGACAAGAGGTTCCTCGTATATTTGGTTCGATAACCTCCATGCAGACATCTCTACACAATATCCTTGCAATTTTTTTTTACGTAAAGTTAGTGGAAATTGATGCACTGTGTTTTCTGTCATGACTTTCAGGGTAATGATGGTGAAGCTGTAATTAGTAAGTTACGAAATGGATCAGCTGTGGAAAATGCAGTTGCTATAATGCAAGAGAAGGGTCTCTCAAATCCACGCAGATCTAGGCATTGCCTTACACCTGGCACCGTTAAATATGCGGCATTTCATGTTCTTTCTCTTGAGGGGAGCAAAGGTCTATCAATATTGGATGTTGCAGAGAAGATTCAGGTTATATTTTGATGCCAATAGTCTTCGGTTTGTATTTTCCTTTTCTCTTAATACTATACATTATGTGTGATACATTTAAAATTGGACATATAGAAATCTGGATTGAGGGATCTTTCCACAAGCAGAACGCCAGAAGCTTCAGTTGCTGCTGCTCTGTCAAGGGATACAAAGCTATTTGAGAGGACAGCTCCATCCACATACTGTGTGCGTACACCATACAGGAAAGACCCTTCTGACGCTGAGGCTATCCTTTCCGCAGCCAGGGAAAAAATCCGAATATTTAAAAGTGGTCTTGTGGAAGAAGATGCTGATGAAGCTGAAAGAGATGAAGATTCTGAGAGTGATGGAGCCGAGGATCCTGAAGTTGATGATTTAGATGCTGAATTAAGTCCTAAGAAAGAGGATTACTGTACTTCAGAAACAGGAAAGTTCTCTCACGAAGCTGTACTGGATAATGGAAAGGAAGAGGAAGAGGCTGTAAAAAAGGAACCAGTGTTCACTGAAAAGGGTGATGGTTTATTTTTAATGTGTTCTGAAGACACTAGTTCTTTACAAGGTGTCAGTGATGCTGTCACTCCTGTCGAGAATAGAACTATCTCCAGTCTTGATGAAGAGGATGCAGATATTGACGAGAGTAGCCCTGGTGAACTGTGGGTTCAGGGATTGATGGAGGGTGAATACTCTGATCTGACTGTTGAGGAGCGCCTTAATGCCCTTGTTGCATTGATTGGTGTGGCAATTGAAGGGAATTCAATTCGTCTTGCTCTAGAGGTACCATCTCTTCTCACTCTAGTCTTTGAAAATGCAATTCTGCTTAAGATTGTTTATTGAGATCAGATTCTTTCAGGAGCGCCTAGATGCAGCAAATGCTCTTAAGAAGCAAATGTGGGCAGAGGCACAACTTGATAAGCGTCGCATAAAAGAAGAATATTTAGTGAAGCAATACTCATCATTTGCAGGAAATAATCTTATGACCCTAGTGCCAGAGGGTAGGATGAGCCCGCTGGCAGCTCTTGATGAGAAAATCAAGGATGTACCTCCGAGTACTATGGTTCCACTTGAACAACCAAGGGACCCTCATAATGATGTAAATCATCATAATACTTTGCCTTCCGAAGTTAACATTCAAATGCAAGATTTCCCCTTGGGTGCCGATAATCTACCGCACCAACATCCAGGACATGTCACTGAACGATCCCGCTCACATTTAAAATCTTGTGTTCATCATAAGGCAGAAGAGACTTATGTATATAGGTCACTTCCCCTTGGTTTAGATCGCAGACGCAATCGGTATTGGCAGTTTGTAACATCTCCATCTCATAATGATCCTGGTTCTGGTAGGATATTTGTCGAGTTACATGATGGACGTTGGAGGCTTATTGATTCAGAAGAGGTATGCATCCTAGTGTTTGCAGTACAAGTGTCGTGCTTTTGTAGGGTTGCAGCATGTACTTCTCGTCATTTAGCGAATTGCTCTGGGACCAACTAGTCTCTGTTGTCTATTTTTGCTAAGTGCTGTGTGGCCTTTGTTAGATTTGACTAGGTTTACTGTGGCTTGTTGCAGATAATCTTTCTGGATGCTTCTCTGCCTATTGTTCTATCCATTTTATAGCTAGTAGGTGTTATCTCATATACTTGTTTTTATCTGTTCTTTTGGATGGCTGCAGGGTTTTGATGCTCTTGTAGCATGTTTGGATGTCCGTGGCATTAGGGAATCCCATTTACGCTTGATGTTGCATAGGATCGAAAAGTCATTTAAGGAGACTGTCAGAAGGAACATGCTACAAGTAACCACTAAGAAGAATGTTGGTTGTTTCCTCAAAGATGAAGCTGTTGATTTAGGAGATGCTCCTGATGGCGTTGAAAGCCCTAGAAGTGCTGTTTATCCTACTGAACCTGAGATGTGCGAGACCTCTACGTCATTTGCTATTGAACTTGGAAGAAATGGAAGTGAAGAAAACAATTCCTTGAAGAGGTTTTGTGACTTTGAGAGGTGGATGTGGAAAGAATGCTTTAGTTCGATGATGCTATTGTCCGCATCCAAGTATGGGCAAAAAAGATGCCCACAGCTACTGGGACTTTGTGCTGATTGCCATGATATATACTTTTACGAAGATGACTCATGTCCATCTTGCAATAAAGCACTTGAACCCTCCAAGAGTAGCTTGGATTTTGTTCAACATCTGTTTGAACTAGAAAATCAAGTTGTAGATCTTCCTCACAAGTCATATGGTTATTCTCCTGTGAGGATCCGGGTACCTAAATTGCTATTAGCATTAATTGAGGTGAGCATTTTATCGATAAAATGAACTGCTTATTACATTCTCTATATTTTATAAAAAACGATATGACAACTTTATCCGGAGCTTGCAGGTCTCACTCCCTCCAGAAGCACTTGAACCTCATTGGACAAGTGCTATGAGGAAATCATGGAGTATGAAGTTGAGGTCCATCTCATCAGCCGAAGAGCAACTTCAGGTTTGTTGGCCATCTTTCCTGAATTCCTGTCCCTTTAAGCTCAAATGCTTTCGATTTTACTCCAACTGTTGGCGAGTTGGCAACAAAAGCAACAAGTAGGTTCGAACCTAATAATGTTACTGTTTGTTGTCTGAAATTCACCTGGAGGTCTGAGGACTGTAACTCTCAGACTTCATTTCTGCAAAACTGAAAGTGACTATTTTGTAAAAATGCCAAAGTTACGTGACTATTTTAGATAATTACCCATCAAATAGGTGAAACTGACTGAAGGTTGCTCTATGTTCAAATAACCATCTAGTTTATCCTAAGCAATTTTGAATCGATATGTTGTATGACTTAAAAGTTGGTAAAAGCTTTTATTTTGTTAATGAAACAACAGAGGTTTGCATCACCTGCCATCATTTCTGTCCATCTTCAAACTCACACTGTAGCTGCTCTTCTTGTCACATTTTCTAAACCCTAAACCACAGAAATATGAGCAGGGTTTTGTGTCTGCAGGCTTTGACTTTATTGGAAGCTGCTGTAAGGAAGGATTATCTGTCCTCTAACTTTGAAACCACAAGTGAACTGCTAGGATGGTCTGATCCACTGGGATTTTCTACTGCTATTTCAAAAAGTATGGATACGGTTCCTATACTTCCATGGTTGCCACGTACAACAGCAGCTGCAGCTTTAAGAATAATGGAATTCGATGCATCTATCTCCTACATTCTCCAGCAGAAAGTTGAATTCCAGAAGGATAAAGTTGCTGGGGACTTCAATGTAAGTGTTCAGTTTGGCCTGCATTACAATTTGTTCACTTCTTACATGCATTTCTAAGGGAGAGTGGATCCGGTTCAATCTTTCTTAGGAATAATATGTTGGCGTATTAAATTTGTTTTATTTACTTGGTCACAATCTGTAGTGCTATTGTTATGCATAATTTAAGTCACCTCCAAAACGTAGGTGTTGAATTTGGATGTCCTGGCCTTTGAGATCATGTAGTGGTAATAACGAATCGAGCAAGGAGAATTAGCAAATTCAATAAGCTTCTAGAACTTTTGCTTCTTTTTTTAATAACTTGAAGGTAGTGATAGAATAATTACTAGAGGTGGCATATGGGTCGTTTGGTTTCCCCGGTTCTGAAACTGATGTGTTTGTGATCAATACATCACATGTATTGATGAACTTGGTGTTGTTGTAGGTTACTACTTTTGGTACCTAGAATCTAGAATTGTGTTTTCAACGATGAAAATGAAAGTAAATTTTTAACATAAATGCCACTTTTGCCCATTCTTTTCAGTCCAAAAGATACTTTATAAAGAATAAAACTTGAAAAAAGACACAATCACAACTGAACAATTTCAACAATCTCAACTAAAATCGGAGATTCTGTGACATCACGCAAACAATACATTTATAGTATGTGCATAAAACTCAAAAATCAAAATAACAACAAACAATACAATCTCACTAAAACGACAACAAAAGGAGAAACCAAACAACCAAATGTGAAGACTTTAAATACTTAGGTACTTACTGTAAAAAAAAAATACTTAGGTACTTATTGTAAAGTTTTTGACAGAAAATCTTGTGCGTTTTATGGAAGTTTAGGGACTAAAGTGTAAGAAAGATGTATAGGTACTAAATACTATTGTTCAGAAACCCATTAACTCAACCCTACCGACGTACCTCATGGATTCGGGCCAATATGGGGTTGGGTTAGATGGGTTTTAAGTGGCTTGGGATGGTTTGTGGGTTTGGGTTGATATTTGCCACCTCTAACATGAATTAGTAATTGCTTGATGCTATGCTTTCTGGTAATCATATGTTTCCCAAATTTCAGAAGCTTGCTTCCACCAAGTATGCTGTGGTCAACAGCTCAAACCATAATCAAGCCTCTGGAACTATCCCTCAAGCTGGATCATATCAAGATGAGAGTTGGATCGATGTTGGGAATGGACTCGGTATTGGCTTCAGCAATGAACGAGGGAATCGTGGAAGGAGCCGCGGACGAACAACTCATAATACAAGTTCTCATCAGAGAAATATCACTGGCCCGAGATCAGGCTCCCGCAAGTTAGCATCTAGCAGCGAGGGGTTATTGGCATGGAAAGGGCGACCTCGTGCCCGGGGTGGTCGTAAGCGTGGTCGCCGCAGTGCAAGAAGTCGGCAGAGATCATCAGCCAAGATAACAACTGTCGGACTCCCTGAAAGAGAGATTCCACAAGGAACCTTGTATAAGAAGCAAAGAGGAGACACCAGCAGAGAAGAAGAATGGAATATTGAAGAAACTGGATTTCCTGTGGTGGATGAAATGGAAAATGGCAGTAGTTCTGAGAGGTCAGATTATGATGACGATGGAAATGGGCAACAAGTCGTAGATGATGATTTCTACCACGACGATCTGGTGGCAGCTGATGACTATGCCAGTGGCGACCTTGCTGGTAAAACTGGTGAGTTTCAGTTGCTGAGTGATGATGATTTGGAAGTGAATGAAGATGGGGAAGAAGAGGAAGAAGAGATTGATGAATCTGGAGATGGAGGTGGAGAAATGGACATCGATGGGTACATAAATGCAGATTCCGATGACGGAATTCAGGATCGAGACAGAGACTCAGATGGGACAGCGTCATCAGGTTTCAGTGACTAGATTCAAGATTTACTGAGAATTAGATAAAGGCAGGCAGCTTCTAGGAATTGTTGTAATCTCTTACTGTTGTACTAACTCCATTATGTAGAATCGCTGAACTTGTAGTTGGTCATGAATATATCTAGAATGAGGAAATTGTGCATAGCTGACAGCACCCTGTCTTTCAAAATTGAATCATCATTTTAAGAACCAAGAAACCACAATGCATATCTCGCTGCTACAGCCTACTGCTTCTATTCGGCAGGGTACCTACGAATTTTCAGCAAGGACACGGGCATACAAGGACCCATTTATTGATGAAAAACATGAAGTAGCGCTAATCAGCCACCAAATTGTATCGCCATGATCGGTCCAGGATTCACACTACTACATGCTCTGAGCTACCCCAAACCATAAGTAAACAAACAAAGTAGCTCTCAAAACAAGAATGTAGATTTGGAATATTCACAATCATATGCCTGTTTCTTCCTCAAGCGCCAAAGAGCTTCTTGATGCCAGCCTTCTGCTCTGAGGTTAGCCGTGCAGGGAACCTGATACTGAACTTGATCCTCAAGTTTCCTCTCCTCGGGGGATCTTTAGGGATTGGCATCCCTTCCCCGGTGACAACTTCCTCATACGTCGGATGAATCACGTTTTTGACCGGAATAGTCAAGCTTCTCCCATCCAAGGTTGTGAGATGGGCAGTGTAGCCGGTCAGCGCCTCTGCCAATGAGATCTTTTGCGAGACGACCAAGTCATTTCCATCTCGTGTGAACACACGATGTGGCTTCTCATCAATGACGAAAACCAGGTCAGCAGGAATGATGCCTGGCTGCTCATTACCTTTCTCGGTGAATGTGATCTTGGTGCCTTTTTTCCATCCTGCCTTTATATCAATGTTTATAATCTCTTCCACCTGCATGGACTTGCTGCAATACATCATAAAAGAAAGAGAAAACAGTTAGTCGGCAACATTTGACCCGCACCAATGAAGGAGCGTTTGGGCTTCTAATATGCTTGAATATGCTGATTGAGCTGACAGCGATATGGATGTTTGCATTAAGCAATATTCAACCAGCACAAGAAATTCAACTACTCATGATTCAGAGCACAATGCCATATTGATGATTTAGCGATGAAGGTGATCTTGAAATTATGCTTCTCCATATTAATGGTACCCCTTAGTTCAATCAGTCTTTTTGATCCACCTATCATCTTTGGTATAAGCAATCATTCCAAATCAACTGAAAAGCCTAGATCAAAGCAAATAACGAGGCAGACTCGGCAGTGACAAACACAGGTGTGGAATACAAACGTTAAAATCTTAAACATATCCTCAGACCTGAAAGAAGAAACAATTTCTAAAACCATACAGAACCTTATTCAGAAGTCAGCACCTATCATCTTTGGTATAAGCAATCGTTTCCAATCGACTGCAAAGCCTAGATCAGAACCAAATAACCAGGCAGACTTGGCAATGACAAACACAGGTGTAGAATACAAACGTTCAAGCCTTAAACAGATCCTCAAAGAGATAACAATTTCTAAAACCCTACAAAACCTTATTCATAAGTCAGCACCCTCAAGCACAACTCACAAAAGCATCCTAGCTGTTAGTTACCATTGAGAACCGACTGGAATGATTCTCCAATTCAGGAACTAAGCATAACTACTTGGTAAGTCTAACGCACAAGGTAGAAACTTCTTTGCTTATTTCATATCCAAGGATAACCTAATGCTACCACCAGAAAGGAAAACAAGAGCTAACAGATAGCAGACACTTTATGGTGAACCAAACTAAAGAAAACCATACTTCGAAACCAAGACAGGAGAGCAAAAAAACGTAAGAACACACCCTGGTACCGCACTTACTTGCTTGCATCAACTATCTCTCTAGAAATCTTCATCTTCTTGGTAGTACCCTTGTAGAGCTCCTCAAGGCTACAATGAAGATTATTCTCAATTGGGGCGGCCTTTCTAGGAGCACTTTGGTGCATTGAACCACCTCCTTCACCATACGATCCAAAGATATTATCACCAAAGAAGGCACTAGGAAACCTTGTTCCTCTACCTCCACCCATTCCTCCCATCCCGCCCATGCCTCCAAAGGGGCTCGACTGACCAAAAACCTCGGCGAAGATATCATCAGCATTACGAGGATTAAATCTGAATGAAGATGGCATCTCTCCCCCGGAGAAGTAAGAAGTTCCACCGGCATTAGGTGGTGGTACTTGACCCTTTAGACCCTCTTCACCGTATTGATCATACACTGCCCTCTTCTGAGAGTCGCTGAGAACCTGCAAGCAGAGATCAATCAATCAATCGATCGATCGAGAGCAGCTACAGAAGAGGACAGTATCTCAACAAAAGAAGAGCAAATAAAATACACAAAATTGAGGACGAGATGCTAAAAGTAAACATAACCATGAGGGAAAATAATCCAGATCATACCCAGATGAAAAGTTGAGACCTTTATGTGATGAATTCAAGTGCAAGAAGAAAGATAACAAAATTTAGCACGAACCTCATACGCCTCAGAGATTTGTTTGAACCTGGCTTCGGCATCCTTCTTGTTGTTAGGATTCTTATCGGGATGCCACTTCATAGCGAGCTTCCTATAAGCCTTCTTCAAATCGTCATCGCTGGCGTTCCTGTCCACTTGCAATATCTTGTAGTAATCAACCCCCATTGCTCCTTTTTCTTGAATGCCCTCCTTCAATTTGCTGCGTTCGCTAACTATGAGAGAAGGAACCCCAAAACCCCCGTGGAAAATCAGCCGCAAGAAAGCTTTTAAAGCTGCTTCTTTTCTTTGTTCGCTCTGGAAACTGGCTTTTGCCCTCCCTTTCCGAAGGGTTCGCGTTGATGTTGCAGTTGTTGTATTTTGGTAGGGCTCTTTGCTTTGCGTTTGGCGCTGATGATTTGAGAAACCAGAGGAAGCTTCTGGAAACAACTCACCCACTCCGTATTCGATAATATAACTCGTCGACTTCTCTTTCTTTCTAGCTCAAGGAAAATGTCTTTTTTTTTTCTCGGCCACGAGTTTTTTCTTCTTATTTTACGGTTTAAACTTTAAACCAAGGTTGTTAAAGCCATATCGGACCTCCGGTTGGACTCGATTCGATCTAAATTGGGCTTCAAAACGATTTTTAGAAAGCCCTCCGGTCTGATCTCTAAAGAGAAAGAAAAAGAGAGGGGGAAGGGAGGAAGAGAAAAGAAGGAGGTGAGATGGCGGGTGGATCATGGAGGTTATAATTTATTTTGTGGATAATAAATTTTTAACCCCGCCGGAATCTTCCATACCCAGAGATCGAAGTCGAAGTCGAAGTCTTTGAGAAGATCAAAACACCCCAAATGACTGCAGTTATTCCCAGAGAAGGATCAACCAGCCGTCTCCAGAAACGCTAGGCGGGTTAAGAAGGAATCAACCAACTCCATCTGCAACTCATTCAGGCATCTGAAGGTCGGATTTGCGGCGTAGCGGGTGGACAATGGTGGTGGGGAATTAGGGATTTGGAGGGGTGGGGGGAGGTGGGAAGGAAGAAGAAGAGTGAGAAGTGGAGGTGGGATTGATCCCTTTTTCCGCGATTGAGATGTGCGGTGTGAGATTTGGGTGGAAAAAAGGCAAAAGAAGATGGGGAAGGAATTCCCGATTTCCCAAACAAAAAAAGAAACCCAAAAATTTTTCTAGAACCCCAAAAAAATTCAACCCACGCAATTACGATTAGGGATTGAATTCGGAGGAAACGTTGGGGAATAATAATAAATAAAAAGTAGTAATAATAATAAAAGGTAGAGTATTAAAGAGCAGTCAGATGAAGCTGATGATGATGATGATGGTATTTGAATTAACGCCCAGGAAGAGAAATGTTGTAGGACGACATACGAACCACCACCTCCGCCACTGTTTCTTGCGATCCTCCCCATCCTCGTTTCCCCCAAATTCTTTTCCTCCTTTTATTTTTCTTTTTATTCTTTTTATCTAGCAGTCCGGAGCCGAGGAGGTTTGATTGATTCGGCTGGGCTGCTAAAAGGAAATGAAAGGAAAGGAATTCCCTTTTTGATTCGCCGGGGGGGAATTTTAATTTTTGATTTGTTCCTCTTTTCCTTTGTTTTTAGGGTTTTCTTGTTTGTTGTTTTCTGGCCTTCTCTCTCTCTTTTTCTTTCTTCAGCTGTCTCTTTCTGGCTTTTAATTGTTGGAGTTGGTTGGTGTGACTTTGTGTTGTGCTTGTGATAGAGGTACGAACAGATTCTGAGGTTGGGTGTTAATGGTAAATTGGTAATTCTATCAACCGGCCTCTTTCACAACGAACGAACGAACGAGTTCTGTTCGTATTTCTTGACAGTGTATAAAATGGTTGCTTCAATTTTTCTTTCTTAGAGAAAATAATATTATATGTTAAATTATTTCGTTACCGAAAAAACGGATGTCCCATTTCTAGCTCGGTTTTAACTGCGTTTTATTTTTGTCTGGCTACTCTTCTTTCGCATGAATGAATGAAGGAATGGGTTTGACCGTTTGTTGGTGGTGGTGGATGGAGGACTTGTCAGTTATGAAGGGAAGAAAATTGTTGGACAACTCGGTCAATCGGCTACCGTTGCTAACACCACTACCTGCATTGGAGCGCGTATTACCCATCCTCCAGTTTAATTTTTAGGAAAAATACAGTTGTATATTCACAACTATTAGGCTTATGACAAATATATCCACATCTATCGAAATACACGAAATATCCAAAAATCAGAAGGTTGTGTGACAAATCTATCCACTTTCCGTCTGAAACTATAACGGCGTGTTAGACGGCGTTAAATTGACTAACGGAATGCTGAATCGATGTCATCTCACCTGCCACATAAGCCAAAAAGCAACCAAACTTTACACGTAGATGCCAAATAGGCTAGTTGAATAAAGGCAAAATACAGCCGTATATCCACAACTATCAGGTTTGTGACAAATATATCCACCACTATCATATTTGTGACAAATATATCCACAACTATCGAAATACACGAAATATCCATTTCCGTCCACTCCGTTAACTCCGTTAGTTAACTTGATGAACAGACGGTGGATGCTTAGTTGGCGTGTTTCTGACCCCACTGAATGACGTGAATTAAAAGAGATAAAAAAAATTAAAAATCCTAAATACTACAGACGGCGAGACTAAAAATCCAACCCAGAAACACGCCCGATAACCACTGATCATCCTCCGATCAACGCCTCCACCACCAAATAACCCTACCCCAAGCCCAGATTTCGATTCCAGCCACAATCCCCAACCATTGCCTCCCTTTTACTCGATGGCTTCCATGTAGTCGGCGCCATGGTGATACCAAGCTTGAATCTCAAACAAAAAAAAAGCTTGAATCTAACCAAATCGCCAATAGAGAAGACTGCAGCAGCGAGGTCTAACAGATAACGGTGTAAAGTTTGGTTGCTTTTTGGCTTATGTGGCAGGTGAGATGGCATCGATTCAGCATTCCATTAGTCAATTTAACGCGGTCTGACACGTCGTTATAGTTTCAAACGAAAGTGGATAAATTTGTCACACAATCTTCCGATTTTTGGATATTTCGTGTATTTCGATAGTTGTGGATATATTTGTCACAAACCTTATATTTGTGGATATACAACTGTATTTTGCCTATTTTTTTCTCTTTTAATCCACGTCATTTAGTGCGGTCGGAATCATGCCAACTAAGCATCCACCGTCTGTCCAGTCATCAAGTTAACTGACGGAGTGGACGGAGTGGACGGAAATAGATATTTCGTGTATTTCGATAGTTGTGGATATATTTGTCACAAACCTGATAGTTGTGGATATACAGCTGTATTTTGCCTAATTTTTATATCATTCACAAGCATAGTACTTCTCTCTTATTAATATTATCACTAGTTTTGCTTTCGGCCAATTGGCTGATTATATGTTTTGAGTTGAACATTCAATCTAGGGCTAGGAATCTAGATCAAAGCATATGACAAACTGCGTTTTAGATCGTACCGTACGGTGATTCTGACCGTAAAACTATGAATATAATTTGATCTGGTTCATGGTCTACCTCTTTAGTTTACGGCCTGGGACTATTTGTTCTGGTCTAGATTGTGATTAATCGCCCAGACTGTGAGCCCAATAACTGCTAGTCTACTGGTATGGGGTTGTGTGGTTGCAACAGAGACCCACTCCCAGGCCCTAGCTCCATCCCACGCAAGGATCAATTTCCCCGATGGCCCTAATCTTATCCGTCATCCACTGGCCAAATTGCGAGAGGCAAAGGAAAAAACCTCGCTCCCACTCGTCTTGAGCCCTCGACGGTGGACGCCTCCCAAGTCCCAACCCCTATCTGTCGGCGTGGAATGTCCAATCAACAGACGACAACCATCAATCACGAGCATCGAGCATCAATCTCCAAAGATGGCCCTCCCACTATCGCGACAGTCGACGAGCTGCCTCTCCCTTCCCTCCAATCTATGGTCAATGGTCCAGACCGTACCGTACAAGTGTGGTCTGATCTGGATTGTATTGTATATGGTCTAGGCTATGGTCTCTGTACTAGCCTCTCGGCCTGGACCGCATACTGTATATATGGTGGTCTTGCCTAAAATTGTCATAAAATTGTGTTGAAAATTTCCAACATTTAGCATACATAAAAATAATTATTCAATTATTTAATTTTGACTCATGCCCTCAATGGTGATGTGTAAAGTCGTATTGTAGGATATTATAGAAATATTTTGTAACCAAGATACTCAGTTCGTTATCTTATATAATGCACATCAATATATCAGTTTCAATACTTGTCTAACCCTAAAACAATAATTAATGTTAGTTGGATTAAAGCATTCGGAGATTTTCTTAGTGAAGATAACTTATCACTTATTCTAGACCCTAATTCTCTTAATCTTAAACCATAATTCTCGAATAAGCGAATGTTGGACTCTAAACTCAGATGAGTGAATTCTTTACCCTAATTTTGTAAACCTTAAACACTAAGATCAAGTACATTACGAAAAATAATTGATAACTCTGATTCATTAATATATATATACACGGCATTCCATATGAACAATATTATGCCTTAGATAATTAGAATATAGGGTTTAGTCACTCACTCAGAGTATAGTACCATGCCCCTAATTCATGTTCTAGATACATGTTATTGTATTAAAAGTATGTTGTAGATCAAAATTCATCGACGGTACCATAGAGTTAGCTGTACATATACATTATTTATTGTTACATTAGCCAATGATGTTTGACTTATTGTTCAAGATATTTAGTCTCTTACTTCTATACTTATGATTTTCAATCCTTAATGCAATTATTAGCCAATGGTTTGGTTCATTTACTTCTAACATTGAAATGTTTCCTTGCGAAAAACCATTGCACTCCTAGAACTAATTTATGATCATAGCTAGATCATCAATGTCAAATGTTTTAATTGAAATGAAAATTTGTAAACCACTTTCAAAAATAATTCTTGTACTCTCACAAAGTTATGTAAACTAATAAATTTTTAAGTTGCAACACAAGACTTAAACTCTAAATTTATTATTCGATTCTTGATTGAGATTTTTGTGATTTTGAGAACTCACTTAGTTAATTTATAAAGCTAAGTATATCAAGAATAAATATTATGTAAAACCAAAAAGTTATTTGACATTTGGAGAATGACCTATTGTAGTGGATAAGCCCTATGATTTTGAGATGTTCAGTTATTGTTTAGTTTGATTTAAGAGATACAACAAATTTGTTGTAGTCTAATTGGTTAGAAATATTGGGTTTTGGTTGAAAGACATAGGCTCAAATCTCAGTAATGAAGATCTTTTACGAAAAGATATTTAAGTATTATTTGCAATTACAAATGTTCCCCTATAAAATGAAGAAAAGTAGACAAAAGTCTACTATATATTACTAGAGATATGGTTATCAAACCACAATGGAATGGAAACCCTTTCTTTTCTAGAATTTGCGTACTCCCACCACTCCCCTCTCCTCATGAGAAAGCTCGTCGCCGCTAGCGACGGCTTTGCTATCCTCACTCCCATGGAGTCCTGAATGATCTAGATGTACTCGCCAACTTTCTACGATGCTTGTACCACCAGCGGTATCCTCAGTTGCGGTCCTACTCGCATGGTCGTCCTCCTCTTGACCTCGTCAAGTGTAATATGCATATCCCAAAATGTAAGAGGTGGAAATTATCCTTATGTGTCGTTGATATGAATAGAAACAACATTTATCGTTGTCATAACTCCCAAAGCTCTAGAATATCAATTCCCCTTGGATAGATAATTCAATGAACATGTTTCATTCCCCTTGGATTAACTTGAATCCCATGTTAATAGTGACTGCAGATTTCGGGTTCAATCGATAAATGGATGAAATTCCTCACTGCTAAGGTTTAAGGCATTTTTCTTTGGAAATTCGAATATAAGTTGGAATCCGATTAGGCAAATTCTAATATCATTTGGATTTTTGTAATACTTATTTTCATTCATGGAATCCATTGAGTTACATTACTAACTAATTTATGGGTTACTAACTATAACAATTATCAATTTTAGTGTTATAATTAGTGGTTATTACCTCTAACAAATGTCAAGGAACCGACAACAAAAGAGTGTCTAGTTAGGTTGGTAGTCATTTTAATTCTGATTGAACAATATTATTTCTTTTTATGAGATTATCCTCATAAGGCCCCGACTTCAAATTAAGTATATGGGGGTGTCATTTCTTGCACTTTGAGAGCTCCCAATCCTTGATTCTTTGTTATGCTTGTGTTCTTTGTTGAATATGAAAGTCTTGTAATAATAGTGGTTTAGAGTTTTCTCAATCACATGTTCGTCCTTTATTTGCCTAATACGCTCTCCAGTTTTGTGTTTTGCCTCTTCGGTCCCTCGTGCTTTTGTTACCCCCCCCCCCCCTTTTCCCGCTCAGTGGCTTACCCTCCTGATGACTCCCTGAAGATCTTTTTGTTGCTCCGTCGATCAAGGTGATTGCTTGCTTGTTGGGTCTGGTTGTTCGTGGTTCTAACACACATGCTAGCTATTTTCAAAGTCCTTTCATTGTGCATATTCCATCTTCTTCCGTGTAGAGCGTCTTGCAGTTCATGATGCCATCTTAGTAGCAATCTCCAATTTGCTTGTGGTAGTAGTTTTTTTTCTTTAGAGTGGTTCCCTGAATCACTTTCTGGGTTGCCCATACAGTGGCACATAAAATCCTATTGATTTTTTATTTTTGTTAGAGTTGCTTGTAGTCTACCTATTGTAGGCTTTTATGTTGAAGGGTGTATATGGGTTGAGGGTGTTCTTTCTTTAGCCTTTTTTCTTTGACAATGGTTTTCAAACGATTATTATGTTGGCCAGTACAACTAGATTCGATCGGTATTGCACAAAAACTTACCAAAAGACTATCGATATAAAGTTTTATTCAAAATTTAAAAATAATAAAAATTTATAAAAAATGAGATAAGAGTGATCGACTAGAACGGTCAATTTCTAGTAAACAAAATGATGTAATTTTTGTGGAATTAACTAATAAGAGGGGGAAATTGGTGGATTCAAGTATGAACATGTAAATATTGATATTATCCATTGAATTTAAATATAAATATTTGGATAATGATGTTAAATATTGCATTTAAATATGATAATTTATCATTTTAAATAATATAGTAATTTATTTAAATATGAATGAAGATTATAAGTTGTTTTTCTTAAGAAAAATTATATAAACGCACAATTTATTTGGTGTGAGTGATTTCTCACTTCTCCATACGTTATGTTAAAAACGACATAAACCGACATATAAACTGTTTGGACCTTGGTTTGGACCATACCACTTGCTAAACTGACGTAACAGTATACACTGATTTGACGATGTTGGAAGATTGGCTATGAGGTTTGGAATTGATGGCCAACATTGGGATACCCATAATAACGGGGTATAAATTCCTCCACATTTTTAGTGGAAGGAACATAGCTTAATGATCCTCCTCTGAATTCCCCCGGGATAGGGGAATTCATACTCATCGTGTGGAATTTAGAGGAGGATTGTCAAGCTATATTCCTTCCACTCAACAATGCGGAGTAGGTTCATCAATACCCTTATTATGGGTATCCAATGTCGACCATAAATTCCAAACCCCGCAACCAAACTCCCGCCACCCAACAAACAATATGTACAACTGTCCACAGTATCACCATACTCACCTCCACTTCCACTCCAAGTCGCTACTCTGGTTGCATATCATGCGTTCACGCTGCTTGATCAACAATTGAGGGGCTATATTTCTCATGTTAAGGAAGATAAGGCTTTGATAGATTGTTAGGAATTGATGAGCTAGCTAGGCGAATGATGGAAAGAAGAAAGTATACTTATTATCTTTTAGTTTACTTACTTTTGAAGTTAGTATGGACTTTATATGTTGCAAATGCAAGCTGTGAAAGGGCTTTTTCAGCTATGAAGTTAATCAAGAACAATCTTCGAAATCGGTCGAGTGACCAATTTATGAATAATTATTTAATTGTATATATATATATATAAATGTTTGATTTGCAACATAAGCGATAAATATATTTTACCATCATTTCAGAAGATGAAAAGTCATCATTATTTGTTGGAAAAAACAATGATATTTTGTGAACTTTTTGAAAAAAAAATTATTTTTTTATTTTTTCAGCCAATACACCTATTGAAAAATCCTAGGTCTGCCACTGCTTGAGTATGTATGTGACACTTTAGTAGAAGACACCACTTTGTGTGTTTCGTCCTTAGAAATTGAGGTAAACTTGTCAATGGAAACAAATTCAAGAGAGGCAACTGAAAGCCCACAATACCTACCTAAACATGACGCAATAAGTAAATGGTACAACAAGTTTATATTTATCTAATTTTTTTTATACCATGTGGTTGCATCATCTCACAAATGAGGTATGTTCCTATTGCGCCGAGGACAAGCCAAGATTGGAGGATGATTAAAGTGCGTCTATGATCTTTGGGTAATTGCTTCCCTTTTATGTGTCATAAATATTAGTGACTTAAGAGTAGATACACGATCAGAATGTACTGCATAAAGATATCTATGGTAATCGACTTTAAAATTTTGGTTTAATTGATAATCATGTTGAATGGTATTCGGCGTGTTTGAAGTGGTGAATGTTGTTCATTTGTATAGAGAACAAAATCATGTTGTTGTATACCTAGTTAGTAAAGAGTATTTGATTCCCCTCAGAAGCCCCATGGTCGCTCATGGTTGAACCTAGTTATGTAATTGGATTAATCGAGACATTATCAGGGTTTCCACACTTAAATGATTAATAATACAAATGAAAATGTATTTGTGTCCATCTTATCATCCAAAAATAATTTATTTTTTCTACTTCAGTCATCATGTTATAAATTCTTAATCCAAACTTACATAACCATGATAAGCTCTAGTATGCGACTCCCAACCAAAGGCTCTAATTTAACATGTCTCAACCTAATAATTTGTTAATAGAGAATAGATAAATTGGCATGCCAAATAAGGTGTTCAATTTATATCAAATTTTTAAAAGTACATAACCATGATAAGCTCTAGTATGCGACTCCCAGCCGAAGGCTCTAATTTAACATGTCTCAACCTAATAATTTGTTAATAGAGAATAGATAAATTGGCATGCCAAATAAGGTGTTCAATTTATATCAAATTTTTAAAAGTATGTTAGTATTTGTGAAATGGTTAGAGGAAACACAAAACAATAAATCACAAATGAGAGTACATAAGCGAAAAAAGAAGAAAAAAACTAGGAAAAGCCCATTGTTATAAGTTCATTCATTGTGGAGAGACAGGGGTGCCAATTCCATGACGTTTGGTAGGAAAAGCAAGGAACAACAAGCTGCTGACCAACCCAATCCCCAAAGGCAAGGTCGAAAGCAACTCCTTCACTTCCTCCGTGGGCTCTGGAAAAAAACAGCTCACCACATTCTTGTCGAACAACGCCACAGATGCAAAAACAAGAGCACTCATGGTAGCATGGAAGAAATCAATGAACCTCAGCCTATATTGTTTTGCTTCCTCTAATGACAGCTTATTCACGGATCCATCCATCACCCATAACCCATTGAATGTCGCCAACCCATACCTGATCTTTCCCTTGGCATCCCTAAAGCTGTCGGTCAAGCATTGGAGGAAGCAGGAAAGGCCGCAGAGGGTAAGGAGGGAGAGAGCCATGTATTTACTTATTACGCTCAAGCATTTCCCTTGGTTTGTGAGAATCGGGGACAAGATTTGGAAGGTTAGGACAGACCCCGTGGGGAGAAGCTTTGTGAGCAACTCGGTTGCTTTGAAAGTCTTCTTCATAGCCTTTCTCGCCGGACGTTTTGTCTTGGTCTTCCGGGGAGGCAACTCTGGTGGTGGCGTTGATGGTGATTCGTCTCCCAAAAGGGGTTGTTTGTGTTCTTCAACTGCTTCCTGGGTTGCCGCCTGTTGTAGTATGTTAATGTGATCCATGACTCTCTCTAAAGTTTTTTTAGGTGCTTGTTTCTTTTCTGGGCTTTCTCTAATGTTTCATCTATTCGATGATGAGTTTTTCTATTCCATTTGGTGCTGATATTTAAGGGGTTTATTCGAGCAAAAAAGGATTTTGCCTTGATATGTTTCTGTTTCATTGTTGTAAAGTTCTTTTGGTTATTGAATATGTTAATCATTCCCTTATGGTTGTTTTGGAAAAGCATTAACGCTAATCTTCGTATTTACTGTTTGAGGGCGGAGTTTCAGGTGGACGGAGCAGTTAATGATCTTCTTAAAATGGTGCTTCAAGAAATGAACAAAGGATCATTCAAACTTATTTGTAAGTTGTAACAAACGACAATTAAGCCTTCTCACCTTTAGAAAGAGAAACAACCTAGCTAGCTTGTATTCATGATTTCTTCCATCAACTTATGGACAATTAATACATATAGAAATTTGTTCCTTTAGGCAAATGAAGTAACTGACCACGTGAATTAATTAACCTAATGTGTTTGGCAATATATTTTACTTATTACCAGAGTATGTAACTGTTTATTTTTCTTTTTGATTTGTTAATAAGTTCTTTTCTTCATTAATTATTCGAACCTAAGGTGTGTTGGATGTTCTCATTTTCATATTATCATTAGGCCACCCTCTTGGAGTTTCAATTGAAGACAAATTTAATATATGAGTGTTAATTGTGAAACTCTCATTTTATTCAGGCCTAATTCAACTGAACATCCCAACTATAAGAAAATGTAATTTATATCCTCAAGTATTCAATATGACATCTAGCACGAAGTATTTTTCTTTTAGTGTTGACCGATGTTGACCGTCAGTACTTAACTAATGGACACGACATTGTTGATGTGTATGCCAACGTGACTATTGGATATAGGGGTGTAGGTGGGTCGACTTGGTAGGTTTTCATCATTTTAACCACCCAACCCATGAGCCTCGGGTTGGATGATACCCAAACCCACACACAAATTTCAAGATCCTACAATTTTCTCGAGTCACAGTTTGAGTCGGGTCAGATGAAAATCCAATCCATTACGCGATAACAAATTTTTTATATTAATAATATAATACGACGAATAATACATAAATGACACTAAATGAAACTGCAAAAAAATTAAGATATTGTAGTAACATATGCATTTATAGTAGAAAAATACAATAATTAGAAATATTTTACTGGCTAGTACATTGTAGTACACTCAAAAATGAAAATATAAAGAGTGGATGCAGAGATAAGTGTATGTGTTAAGAAAATACTATGATAAATAATTGAGTTTCAATTTATCAATACTAACTATGTTAAAAAATTACATGAATAATCATTAAAGTAAAAAATTTACCTGGAGGAATATATATTAAATATATAATGTAGTATTACGGGTCGGTTTGGATAATCTTGGATTGTAACCATTGATGACTCGGTATTTGCACATGTTTTCCCCTTTGTTTCTTGATTGTTTGAGCTTGAATTACCGTGTCTTTGGCCTATTTTACGCTAGGTTGTGTTCCTTTGTCACATTTCAGGTCCTAGCACATAAAGTGAAGCATAGGCGCAAGTTTCAAGTCAATCAGAGATCAATTGGCGATTCGGGAGAAGAAACTCGGGCATGACCTGAAGAAGAATGGATTTCTACCTCACTTTATGGACAAAGAATCATGCAAGCTTGTCATGAAAAGAAAGAGGACGAGACTACGAGCGTCTGGGATCAAACGGCGACTGATTCGGAGTCCGGACGAGGGAGAAACGAAGCATTGAATATAGGGGAACAGGTTCGGCAGTAAAAACACGGGCGCGCCTAAATCAAAACACGGCCGTGCCCATATTTAGGCATGACCGTGTTTTGACCGACGCGACCGAGCGTGTTTTTAACACGGGGCAAAACACGGGCGGTCAAAAGCAAAGCACGGCCGTGCCCGCGACCGTGTTTTGCCCAGAATCGGGGTTTTTAACCCAAATTCGAGCCAAAGGAGAGGGAGAGCTGGGGTTTTGGATCCCAAACACCCAAGGGACGAACCAAAGAGAGAGAGAGCGATTTGAGGGCATTCTTGGAGTGGAATTGGAGGATTTCTTCGCCTTGGAAGCTCGAGGAACAAGCCCAGACTTGAAGACTGATCATCTGAAGATTCTTACTGCAGTCTCTCTCTTCTCTATGGAGTAACTTCCCTTCACTTAGGTTTTGAGGAACCCTAGCTATGTTTGTTTGATTGGATGATTGTATGAGTACTCTGACTTGATAATCTTGAGTTCATATTCAATCTATGCATGTTTTCATGATTCAATTCTGCTTTAGTCGAGATTATTGATTCTGCTTTGATCCTATGAGAGCGAATACCTGATTAGGTCAATAGAGCACCATAGATTGATAGTATTGGATCGATTGCTTTAGTCGAGGGTTGATTCACTGCTTTGTATCGATTGAGAACCTCATTCGATAGAGGGAATCTAGTTCAGAACGCCTTGATCAGTTGTTCTAGAGAAGGATACGTCCCTCTAGGCAATTGACTCAAGAGGGCCTTGTTCCTTTAGTCGAGACTCAAGGTCTAGTCAAGGATTCTCCGCATTGTGAATGAAAGTGAAACAAGTTAGAGATCATCAATCGTTAATCTGGCTAGTGGCTAGGGGGAATCATACCTAAGTGAGTTCCCAACCTGTAATTAGATTAACTTTAACTGTAGTTTGCTAGAGTAGTTTTAGTTCTTTCAACTTAATCTGTTTTGCTAGATAACGAACTGAAGCTGAGTAATAGTAACTCTAGAGACCCGTGGATTCGATATTTATTACTTGAGCCACTATACTGCAGTCCCTTTCATTGGTTACACTTGGCCATTGTTAGGAGTTGTGTTTTAGCGAGTCAAGTTTTTGGCGCCGTTGCCGGGGAATTTCTAGATTATTAGGAAAGGCAGAAGTTTGTTAATTTAGCTTTTTTTTTTTTTTTTTCTTTCTTTTCTTTTCCACCCTTGCTTTTCACTTGGGTGTTTTTGTTTTTGTTGGTGCAGATTTGAATCATGGATCCTCATGGCTTCTCCAATCATTGGGGGTATCCACCACCACCCGAGTGGTATTACCCCGAGACCCCCTGGAGCAATCAAGGAGGAGAAGACTATGGATTCGGGTTCCAGTACCAACCCCCTTACTACGGAGAACAACCGGACCCCTGGGCATATCAAGAACAACCTCATTATCAAGAAGAATTTCTCCCACAACCAGAAGGGCCATCGGAGCTGGAGTTACTCCTGGAGCAGTTTACTCGAGCCTGTGAGAGAACATGCTCCAGGATGGATCATCAAATCCAAGCCCTTCCCTCTTCCGATCCCTCATATCTCCGTGATATGGAGGAGGCTGTTCAATGCTCAGCGAAGCAAACAGAGTGGGTTGAGCAAGTTTGTGCACAACTTGCTCAAGATCACCCTTCTGCTACCATACAAGAAGAGGAGGAGGAAGAAGAAGGCTACACGGACATTAGGGAGCACACAGAAGTTGTCACGGAGAGCTCCCGTGATGATCATGATCAGGAATGTCCTGTCGTAGCCGACCACCCTTTCCCACATCCCACACTGCGCTTTGAAGAGGTGGGCATGAGTGAGGAGATGCAAGAAGATCTCATGAAAGAAATTGCTTGGCAACTTGCTCTCCAATCCGTGCTAGAAGAAGAAGAGCAAGAAAGGGTGCAGAAAGAGGTTGTGGAGGATGACGAAAGCGAAGCAGGAGGAGTTCTTGATCATTTCCCAGGGGTGATACCACATGAAGAAGAAAGGGAGGTTGAAGAAGCAATTGGCGTCCAGGCTGAGGACGAAGTTGAGGTGGAAGAGGCCTGCACCGGCCATGAGTTACATGTGATATCTCCACCAAACTTCGAGGAGCTGCTTGGCAAGGATCCATTTGCAGTGTCTCTTTGCCAGACCAAGGCCACTTCGACATCGGTCCCTCTTGGTGGACGTGATGGTGGCCAAACGATGCTGTCATATCTGGTTTGGGGCAATGAGACGAGAGAAGAGAAGAAGAGGTCTCGAGGGTGGAGACTTCATCTGCATCAAGTGCACGAGCCTTCATCAACTGCCACATCACCTGCTTGTGACTTGAGACTCCACCTCATAGATGAGAACCTCAACTTCAAGGAGGTTCTAGCATGGACCGAAACTTAGGAGCCATCGTCCGGCTCACGACGTGAAAGAAGCGCTTGTTGGGAGGCAACCCAACCAGTCGGTTTGCATTTCTTTCTCTATTTCTCCTCGGTTGAGTCAGTTTTGTTATTTGGTTTTAGAGTCAATAGCTCAACCTTTGTGAGATTTTGGGTGGTGTTTGTGTTCTGATTACTCTCTCCTCCTGGAATGCACCGCCTGCCCCGTCCATCATCATTCACCCTTGATCTGGTAACTTCGTTCTACCCTCCTTATCTTTCCTCCATTGAGGACAATGTCGTGCTTAAGTGTGGGGGGGTGTTCGATTATGTATGGGGGTGAATGTTTGGCTGTTTGTGTGCTTGGAGCCTAGTCCACTGTCCAAATTTCGATTTGAGGGCTCCAAGTACGTGTTTCCTTGCAAATTGCCTGCTCAGTATGCTTTGAATTGACAGTCTCTATAGTAATGTGCAACCTAGGGAGGTAGTGTAGCACTATGGAGGATGTTGAAGTATAAGATTTTTCCTATCTAGCTCTTTGCTGTGCCAGTTGATTTTGTGAATTAGTGGAGCTAGGACCGTTGAATTCATGTGGTAATGGTGACTCTATGTGGATTGTGTTTTGGACTCCTGTATCGAATAGGGTGCTCATATAGAAAATGGAAAGCAGTTGGTCCTCCATGTCGAAATCATCGAAATCTTAAACATGGGGTAAGCCCAACGTGTGTGGCACCGTTCATTGCACGAAATCGGGTTTTGGAAGAGATTTTAGTGATCCTTAGTGGGGTACTCCTACAAGGTGAAGCTAAGCTGTCTCTAGTACAAGTAAAACTTCCACCCGTTGAACGGTTTGCCTACTCG